GACGACTTTGTTTCATACTATGCAGTGATTACACGCACAACAAAATAATGGAACAATTTTCCAGCGTCTCTCTTTCCTTCCTTATTTGACATGGATGTCTTCAAAGCAATAGTGAGTGGGTTCCTACTGAGCTAGTTTATTTACCATCCAAAGCTGCATCCCACCTGATGGCAAGTGGGGATCACTTGCCATCAGGTGGAATGGCAATCAAGCACTGGGTAGTCTACTAGACTTATAAAAATAATATATGGCCAAATGCTTTCTTTGTAGTGTGGCTTTTAGGGCATAGTCCAGCACCCGACTGTGGATTGGCAAACTTCACATTCCATGACCACTAACACTTTAAAGTGTTTGAAATTTAGACAGCATAACAAAAATTCGTAAATATTTGTTACTGAAAATTCAAAAATACAATATGCGATCATAACGTGCCTTTACTATCATAACAAACTAGGAGCTCTGAATAAGTGGAATCTGTGGAATATATAATATCTGTGGAATTATAGTTTGCAAATACCGGCAGGATTTGAAAGGAAATTCAATTGTTCGTTGAAATACGGCACTCCTATTCAGGACCATCCCAGCTTTGGAATTAAGCCAGTAGTCTAGATTCAACGAGGCATAATCCTCTCCGACAATTGTGTTTAATTTTCAGCTTGTTCCTGAAAGCCTATTAAAAGACTCCTCTTATAATAAAAAAGTGTTTACTTGATTTAATTTTTTAAATCATGTGATTTAAAATAAAATAGTTGATGGCATAACGGCTATCACGGATGGCTATACGGATGTAAGGCAGTGATGATTCAGGGTTTCGCAATGTGCCTTTAATAACAACGACATTGAGGAAGTAGGAATAGTGGAAGAATGAATTGTAATTATTTCCTTGCAGCGAAACAGTGACTATAAATAATAAGAATTGTTATATTTTTTACTTCCAGCCCTATTGATAATTTTACCCTTTATCGTATAAAGCATAGGTTTTCTCATATACTTTGAGTTTTATTGTAATATTGCCGTATTCCTAAGTGTTTCAAAATGAGTTCTATATTTAATTACTCCTAAAGCGCAAATAAAAAACCGGATATTTAAGTCACTTTAATTACAAGCGCCGGTTGTCATTAATTCCAATTAATACATTGTCATGACATAATTAAAACAATGGCCCTTTAGATGATATATAACAATGTAACTGTTGGTTCTATTTGAACGAGCTGTAATAGTCTATGTGCGTCGTAAAGACACCCACGATGTAATTCCATTGAAAGATAATGACACGCAGATAAAAGACGGACGCATGCAAGGGAATATCGTAACAATGTCTATTTTACCATATGTGAACTTTGCACGATATATTCACCATTATAAAGTCCGCAATTACTCCCTTGTTGGACATAAACCGTTTTCGAAGATGTTGTAAATGTTTACGAGTAACGATTCATTCTCATGCACATGAAGACACATTCTTCTCTAATGTGTCAAGCGAGCTGGCGGTTTACCTAATGTTAAGTGATAACCGTCGCCCATGGTCATTTACTACACCCGTTGCTTTTGATGAAGTGGGCACGGCTACCTCACTCACCACACGAGACGCAGAAGTATGTCACTTGCACTTTACGCCGGTCTTCTATGAGGTCTTGGTACGGCTTGGGACGCTCGAGTCCAGTCTCTGCGATTGCTCTACCACATTTTGTGCACCTTCTTCTTCCGGACTCTCATCTTCGGTTAAAGCTACACAACTCCGGATATCGCCGGTAAACTCTGGGCACAGTACACTGGCTCATGTCCAACAGACGAGCAACTTCTCGCTGATTCTAGCCTTGTTCCGATAAGGCAACCGCTTGAGCCACTTCTTCAATAGATGTGTGAAGTATTCGGCAATGTTTGTGTTTAATAATAAGGTGTAAGTGTACTGGTTGACATTTGCCGAGCAAATAATAAGGGTAGGTCCGGTATGTCCCCGTTTATAGAGCATGACAGCCCCTAATTAGCGCTATTGTAAATAGGTGCAAAAATGGGTGTTTTCCCGATCTACAAATACTAACTGTCAATATAATCTATACCACGCAGAGAGAACTCGAAAATGGGAGGCGAGTTAACACTTTTAGAAACAGTATAAAAGGTTTAGTGATTAGCTGAACTAAATGAAACGGCCCGATCAGAAAATTAAAAATTCTCGTCATGTGACGAAAAACCTTTTTTTTTTGGTATCGGGGGGGAAATCTTCTTAAGATACCCTGTCATTCTGTGACAGGGTTATGTGGGGTTCTTAACCACTAAAACCCCTTCGGTGGCCACCTTTTGTACGTTTGGAGGGACTCCGGGATCTCCTACGGAACGCACCGGTGTCCCTTGGTACTACGCGTGAGCACGCCTCGGAGAAGGATAAACCTTCCCCGATTCCCTCGCCATATTGCAGCAGCTCGAAGCCACTTCGTGCTGCTGTCAATCCCTGTCCCCTTTTAGTCGACTTTTACGACTGGCAGGAGATACCTTAGTCCTATTCTAGAGCCCGGGACTACAGGGCTGGTGACGAAAAACCTAGGGAACTAATTATATCTACCAATCAATTAGTGTAACAAAAAATAACATAAATGTGTTCAGGGTTTAAATGTATTAATTTGATATTGATAATACAATAGAACAGTATTTTTATTAGTGAAGAACACCATATCACATTTCTGGCTTATTTAGAGCACCAAGGGCGTACGCTAAAATGTAGGAACGTTCTAAATGAAACTAGTTTACGGATTTTATCGCGTTTTTATTTTGATTATGTAATTCCCAGCATTCGTAGTTAAGGGACAGCCTGTCCCGTCGCCATGAACACCAGTGCAAAACTTCAGGAATTAAAAAAAAAACAATTTAAAAACGCGATTAAATCCGTAAACTAGTTACATTTAATATGTGTAATACGTAAACTAGTTTCATTAATTACGCATAAAATCAAGAAGACAATATGTAGGTACGTTATTTCAACATTACTTCGTTGTTTATAAACTTTATTAGCTGAAATAAATATGTTGCATTATTAATTTCGATGGTAATTGATTTGTGTTTAAATCAACAATATAAATAGTATATAAATTCGAGATTATTAACCGTCTTATTTGGATTCGCGTCAAGCCAACTTAGCGCTGGAAACATTTGAGATATCTCTTGATATTTATAGTTTCTCAATTTTTTTCTAGCACTGTTTTATTTGAGGCTGTCCGAAGGTTGTCCGTAGCTAATGTATTTTCTTACCGACTGCCAAAGGAGGGTAACGTTTTTCGATGTTCTTTATGTATGTATCTATAATTCTTTGGTATGCTTCAAAGCATAAACCTTTTGACGGATTCTACTTAGAATGAGTTTCAGTGTTCGAGTGTGACAAAAAAGCTTATAATTTCAATGAGGTGTCAGCGAAGAAACAAACTGACGAATAAGTAGTTTTTTAATGCAGTTGGGTTTTTGTTTCCTTTAATAAATTGTAGTTATTAGCCGAAACCGAAGTGTATACATGCATAGGTAAGTGGATGTGAAAGAGAAGTGTGAAAATAATAAAGTGACAATCACAATCTTTACATACTCCCTAGGTGATACGGTCCCAGTGTTTGTGTTTAGACAATGCCCGATTATTTCGGCAATAGTAAAACGGTTATACGCGTTTCATTACTTTTTCGAATTCCAGTCGTTTCGGAAGTTGACAATGTGTAGATCCGCAATATATTTTGATTTATCGTATGCAATGTGCGCGTGAATCCAAATTCTTCCAGTCGCGCATTTCGCCTTTGAATTTTTTTTTTATTTTGGTAATATTTGTGAATATTAAAATATGCAAGAAGTTGAACTGTAAAAAAATACATTTCTATTACATCCATGACCACAGTGCCCTGTATCCTTTCATTATATACATGTCAACAAGTATATAATCAAGGTTATGTACTTGTTGACAAGTATATAATCAAAGAATGTATCTATATAAACAGGATCTGTTTTACATAACAAATAAAAGATCAAAACATGGCCCCTAGCAGATTCGTGCATGGTCTCGTATCCCTAGAGATACGTGATATTCTAATCACAGTGTACTAAAGCTAAATATGCTTATCCAAATAGGGCGTCCATTTGGGAAGTCAATTAAAAGGGACATCTAATTCACTGTGGAGTTGAAGACAAATCATCGCTCCCGCCTGTTTATATTTGTAGAGGGCAACTTTTTTTTGCATTCTGTAGAAATTATCCTGAGTTACACTCTATTCAGTAAGCGACTGATTCATTTATTTCATTAACCAAATATTTATGGGTTTTATTCATCTGTCAATGATTCAGTTTTCTTCAGTTTGTAAAGCGGTTACTATCGTGGAACTGCAAACTTATTAGGTAAGATGGTAATCATGCACTGGCTGGTTTTCGTGTAAAACAAACGGTTAGAAGAAAGAAAGAGGCTTTATTGGATTTTTATATGTTACGATCATGTAATGAAGACAATCCGAAGAAAAAACCTGATCAAGGAGATGAAATGAAAGAAAATGGTGTCCTTTTTAGGAAAATCCAGCATTCGCGCGCAGTTGGTAACCCTGTGTCAGCTTGTACTCGTACTCTTCATGCGCACGCGCCGATGTAAATATCGATTCGTTTCAGTGCCGCCTTGGCTTCAGACGTGTGCGCACGTAAATCACATGAGCGAGAGAAATAAATAATTTATGCGCGCCTCATTAATACATTCACATCGTAATACGGAGCTAGTACGCGACCGATCTTTTATCGCCCGTAGTAACCTTGCACTTCGCGCGCTCAAGCATGCCGGCGTATTGCGGAGTGACGGACTTTGGCGGGAAATGAATTATTAAAGCTCCCGTGTTGTCAACGCCATAAATTAGTGCGAACGACTGGTGCGCGTAATCGTGCGATAAACGAGTCCGGCTAAGTTTACGTTCGAAATTCAAAAAGTAGAATAATTAATTAAAAAAGATTGCTGTGTTTCACATTCGTTTAAATTCGGGAAAAGATCGACGGAGATGGCGTCCAATTCGCAAGCAGAGCCGTCGTCTCCATCGACCGAAACATCCGAGGACACCCCCACTCCGTCCCCCGCGCCGGAGGCTGTGAACAAATTTAACTTTCTGAAACACGCGAAGAACGCGCGGAACAATCCGTTCGTCAAACCGCGGCCCTCTCTTACCAGGGAGAGCTCGACAGCCGAGCTGTTCTCGAGGGAAAACTCCAGCCAGGACTTCTTCCAGAACTCCAGATTGAACCTCTTCGATACCGCACCCAAGCCGGAAACTACGCAGGGATACAAAAAGGTACGATTTCGTGTTTCAATCTGAAAGTAATGCACAATATACCTCTTTTATTAGGGTTTCGTATTGAAAGTACTCGACCCAATTATTAAAAATACGCTGTCGGTCTGTCACCAAGTATATCAGGAAACGTGATAGACAGGCAGTGGAAATTTTTACAGACGATGTATTTCGTTTGCCGCTATAACAACAAATACTAAAAAACAGAATAAAAAAAATATTAAAGTGGGGTTCCCATACAACAGATGATTTTCTTGTCGTTTTTATAGATAATGGTACGGAACCCTTCGTGGAGAGTCCGAGTCCTCGCACTTGGCTGGTTTTTTCTTATATAATTTTGATCGATTAATAAGTTTAATGTATGCCACTAAGTGTAAGTTGAAAATATAACGTTAAAACAATAGTTTCTCAATTGGATGGAGGACAATGCACTAATTTATCACCTCAGACGCTACATATCTGTATGTAGATCACATTACTTATATGTCTTTTGTGCTTTATGTGAGATTACAAGTTTACTATAAAACGTAAATCACCGAATGACGTCAAAGCCGAAAACAAGTCAAGGACAAATAAACAAGAGTGAAGTCTTTTTGTTTTTTTTTTGTTCCTCAGATATATCTCAATCGTTAATCTTATTTTCTTGTTTAACAAGATTTGGAAACTTTTATTTTAAGTATTTGTATGCTGTGTAGCGCGTTTTATGCCAGTATGGTTTGCCACCAAACGAGGTGGCAGTTCACTTGATGTTAAGTGATAACCGCCGCCCATTGACATTTGCAACTCCAATAGGGTAGCAGGTGTGTTTCCACCTTTTAATTGACACCGATGGGTCCCGGCTACCTCACTCACCGGACGAAACGCAGAAGTATAACACTGCCTTCACGCCGGTCTTCTGTGAGGTCGTGATACCTGCCCATGCGTGCAACAACGAAGACTTGGGTAGGGTTTTTCATGCTTTGGCCATTCTCATACTTTATCTCTTCATCACCACCAGTCTTTAGGAGACTATTTTAAGAGTTTGCATAGTTTTTATGTAATCGGTTATATAGTCATAGTCATGAGGTGCAGTTGTAACTTAAATGTACGGATTTTTTTCATTACGTTTTACTTAATTATTTCTTGGATCGATTCTTTCGAAATTTAAACAGGATGTAATCCGTATAAGTAATTATACTATCCCGTTTATTTATTTATATTTACAACTATTGTTACAGTACCAGTAAAACAGTGCCAACTACGTAATTAGTTTGGTTACATAACATAAACAGGAACAAGAATCGTCCCAGTAGGCGGTAATGATTCTCTCTTTATGAAAGTACCTCCGTCTCGTCTCAGCTCTTGAATGGACTTCCCATTCCTAGTAGAAGTCTAGTGAATGGGACCCGTTAACCATACAGCGGTGGCCATTAACAATATCTGCATTCATCTTAAACAATAATAATAATTTATTTGCGATATATAAATAAAAGATAAGGTGGTAATTACTATTTATATCAACTCATATTACCGAATGTACAAAATTTATATAATGAAAAAAACATTGCCCTTACTTTAGGATAACATTGTCCTGTGCCGTAAAGACGTTTTACAAGCATAAATTTCACGTGAACAAACACACAGATGCTAAACATTTATCTGTGGGTTACACAAATAATTGTCCCGTGGGAATCGAACCCACGACCGACACAAAAGCCAGTTTATCAACAAAGTAATAAAAACCAAAATATAAATAATATTAAATATCAAATTAAATACCTAAGTCAAAAGAAATACAGGAAATGGTGAAACATTATTTGCTTAGTAAAAAATCATTATTACTATAGTAACATTCGTCTGTTAACATATACAGCGTGTCGTTACAACCGCGACTATAAATGAACACACATGTGGAGGATAACATTACTTTAGTATAACATTATCCTGTGTTGTAAGGACTTTTTACAAACATAAATTTCACGTGGACAAACACCCAGATGCGAAACAACTATCTGTGGAATCGAACCCACGACCCCCGACGCCGAAGCCGACACCTTGGCAACTGCGCCACAGATTCATCGTATCGAATAGATATCTCTTTCCGTGTATCTATATCATCTGTTACATTCACATGTATATGTCATATAATATAAAGCGGAACAAATATTAAACGCCGCGCAGTATGGACATGCGTCGTCTTTAACATTATTGGTGGCGCCTCGTCTTACAGTGCAGTGATAACGTTTCATTATTATGTTTGGTGCACAGGGTACATGACAGTCGTGAGGTTTCCGAAAGCTCTCATCTTGGGTACGAAAAAAAGTATTTCAGACAGTTGGACGAATACCATTAGTTCTTGTTGTAGGCCTGGAAGAGTGAAATAAATGTTTTAGACTATATTGCTTTTTTGGTTAAAAAAAAACTGTTAAAATGTCACAGTATTTTTATACTATGCATCGTGTATTAAGAATTAACTAGTCATTCGGGTGAGAAAACGGTAACTACTTGACAGCTTATTCGAAAATAATAACTTATTACGATAATATAATAATTTAAATTATGAAATGGCAGTACCTAAGTAAAGTTTAAACATTTTAAATGCGCGTAAACCATCAACAATCAATTGATTTTGATATTTTTATTTGATGTCCAAACATTTGTGAATTAATAATTCGGTTGCTCGGTATTGTGAGCATAAACAAAGGTTATTTTCGGCTGCTTTCGAGAATCCAAAGTGACCTTGAGATCTTTTAGCATGATTTATCAGTCTTCGACACCGGCGATCTGTTCTTCATTTATAAATGGCGCATGCGAGAACCAAGCGAATTGAACATAAGAATGTTTGTATGAATTCACTCTGGGGATAAAGAGCTTTAGACAGCGAATCGCATCATTAAAGTCGATTTAGTAAATCACTGCATAGTTTTTATTCAAACCTACTAAGACATTATCTCTAATACATTTTTTTAAAACACTACTCGTACTTTAAAATAAACTAATGCCGATGTTCCGGAAAAATTATCTGCATGCAATACAACTACTTGTCCCGGGTACCGAAGACTATAGCCACCATAGAAAGACAAGCCAACTGAGTCATTGATTAAAATTTTCAGTTTTTCTTACATTCTTATTTCCACTCTTTGACGTCCTATTCATATGGTGGGATAAGGGTAAATGATGAAGATAATATGCCTACAAAATTTATATTTTATGCATATCATGCTCATCCACATTCACTTAAAAGTATATGTCATAATATAACGTAAAGCGGAACAATTTTCAAACGCCGCGCAGTATGGACATGCGTCATCTTTATTAAAGCATCATTTATTGGTGCAATAGTGTATGCCAACTTACACACTGTCATTGATATATAATTGTATATATTTCTCAGATAAATCGTCCGTAGGAGTTCAATTACCGTTAAAATCATATTAATGACGCAAAAAATAATCCAATTAGACGGCCTGGCGGCCGCTGCATGCTGCCAAACGTCGCGTCGATCTATTTTCGTTGCGCTTAGGCATTTCGTTCGCGGTTTGCGTTAATGTCATAACATGTCCTTTGTTTGTTGGGGTCGCTAATCGATACTTTGACAGTGCAGGCTTAACTTACGGAAAGAATGCATAGTGTACCGCGTTTTTTATGTAAGAAGACGGTAAGCTGGCCGTTCACCTGATGCTAAGTGATAAACGCCACCCATGTATCATTGGTGCAGCTGATAAACTATTGGCTTGGTCTATAGCGGTCGTGGGTTCGATTTCCACACGGGACAAGTATTTGTGTGAGCCGCAGGTAATTTTTCCCGATGCTGGTGTGTACTTAACTAAATATGTTTACTTAGCTAAATATGTTTCACATGTCGCTAATCTCACCTACCGTTTGTCGGTCGTCTTTAGATATGGGTTTTATTGATTTTTACCTCAATTTGCTGTGATTATGCCCGATTAATCTCGCTTAGTTATAGCTCGTCTTCTTTAAAAAGTCATTTAGATATTTAAAAGTATACACGACATATTAAAATTCCTTTTTCTTTGGGGCAAAAGTGGATGATGTTAAAAGTTAAAAGCTTTAATTGTTGACTGTGCCAGTTTAGAAGAAATTGTTTCCGGTAGTGTTTTTTATTTAATCCTAAAATTTGGTCGTTAGATCACATATTACGGTACCTATAAAAGTCATCGGCTGGAAAAAGTTTAATCTTACAATTGAATTTTCTAAGAAAATTCGCAAAGAGCGAATCAAAACTTTTGTTGTAACCCAGGTGGAGAAACTCATGAAAATGTTTTGAAACAAGTAACACCTTTATAGATGTTACGTTAATAAATTATGTTATGTAAAAAACACTTGAATCAACGTTAACGGCTTCTGTGAATGTACCTGGCAAATTCAATGATCTTGTTTACTTTACGGAATTCTTGATTCACTCAATTTGTTTTTCAACCAACGTGGAAAAGTTAATGTTTGCGTTTCGTCATACAATTTTCATGGCTTCATTGCAATACATTACTTCCAACCGCTACTTTGAGCTATGACTCCTCTTTATCGAAGATGTCCGTACGAAGGTCGAAACTACAAGAATTAAAAAATAAAACTAAGCGTAAAATCCATAAAAGGAATTTTTTGACAATGATAATCAAGTAAATTTCTTAAAGACCAAAACAATAAAAAAATTTAGAATGAAAAAAAAAGTTCTGGTATAAATGGAACAATTTTACGGATTTATCGCGATTCTTTTTAATTTTAATTCCCGACGTTTCGAACCCTTTACAGCGTTCATGGTGATGGGACAGTCTGTCCCGTGACCATATAAAAATAGTTTCATTTATAATGTATAATCGCGTAAATACAAGAAATTATCGTGTAAAAAAGGTCTGTCTGGGCTTAATATCTTTCCGGGATAACGCTTCAAGTTCTTCTTCGCTACAATGTCATTTAATGCCTTTGAAAGGATTGTGGGCGCTTCTAACACATATAACTGTATTTAAGTTTCCATTCGATATACAAATAATAATCATAAACCGATA